CCATCCATCCATCCATCCATCCATCCATCCATCCATCCATCCATCCATCCATCCATCCATCCATCCATCCATCCATCCACCCCTGTCTGTCCTTCGTCCACCCCTCTGTCCATCCTCTCCCTCCATCCTCCACCGCTCTGTCAGTCCACCCACCCACCCCTCAGCCTCCGAGCTCACGTCTCCTGTCCCCTCCATCCATCTGTTTCTCCGTCTCTCCATCTGTCTCTCCGGATGCCTGTCCGCCCGCCTGTCCATCTGTCCGTCTGCCTCACGCCACTCTCAACACCCCCTCCTGTCCCTGCTCACCCCACACTCCCGGGTCACTCCGGTGCCAGTCACCCAGGGACACCCCCTGGCACGAAGTCACAAAGTCCCCAGAGGCTGCACGTGGCTGCAGCCCCCCCGGGAGGGGCAGGAAAAGTCTGGGGGAGGCTCTGGGGGGCACCCCAGCCCCCAGGATCCCCAAAATAGTGAAAGAAGCGTGACCAGTGAGTGGTGACGGGGCAGTGGGGGAAGCCTGAACCCACTCAGTGCTGTGTCTCATCAGCCACCCCCAGTGCCACTGATGGTGTCACCACATGTGACAGTCCTGTAAGTGGGAGTAAAGAGGCACCCCCCRCTGCCAGAGGACGATACCCCAAATCTGGGGCTGGCTGGGGGGCACACAGGGGCACACCAGCTGTGGCACTGCCATGGGAGAGGGGACTGTGACAACACCTAAAGGACAAGGCCATGTCAGGGAGTGGGAGGGGGCACATCTCCCATCCTAATGAGCTCAGGCAGCACTGGGAGCCCCATTTCCCTCCAGATTTCACTTGGGGTGGGGGAATCCCAGACACCCTATGCCCCACCTTGTCCCAGCTGTGACTCTGCCATCTCCATTCTGTGACCCCAAGAYACACAAGTGCCACCCCGTCCCCATCATAGGGCCTTGGGAAGGGGGTTAAGGGACCCCCTCCCGACTTCTGCCCCCCCTTATTGAGCATTCAATCCAGAATGACCAGCGAGGCTGAGGCCAAGCCTGCAGGACTCAGTGCACTGAGCYGGGCAGGGCTCAGTGTGCTGGGTGCAGGGATCCCCCACCTGTGTGCTCACCCCAGTTCCTCCCAGTATGGGGTGACCAGCACCCCGAACGGGGCCCACACCGGCACCAGACCCCCAGGCTCCTACCCTGACCCCCCCCACAACTGCCCTGACTCCCAACAGCATCACCATGCCGAGGCGGGGCAACACCTGCAGGGCCATAGGGGGCTGCAGGAGGTGGGGTTGGGGCTCAGCGTATGCAATTTGAGGGGGTTTTTAGGGGTTCACAGAGGGAAGTGGGGAGAGACTGTGGGATTTGGGATGCATGGGGTCTATTTGGGGGAGTGAGAATGTAGAGATACACAGATGGAGCAGATGATGTTTGGGAGGGGGGGATTTTTGTGGTCAGGGGTGATTGAGAGTGTAATTGGGGGGGTTGGGGATAGATGTGGGGTGTTGAGGGCACATATGGGGTGTTTTTGATGAGGGAGTGTTTGATAATTCAGGGGACTGTGACTGCAGGATGGAGATGCCTGAGGATAGGTGTGAGGGGTGGGGTCCTGGGGGCGTTCCTTAGGGGGACAATTGGGGAGAGATGGATGGATGGATGGATGGATGGATGGATGAATGGATGGATGGATGGATGGATGGATGGATGGATGGATGGATGGATGGATGGATGGATGGAT